TATCCAGCCTCTGCTTTAAGCACTTCATGGATGGGGTACTCACATCTTCCATATAGCACTGTACAATATGCCTTTGAACAGCTCTAAATGTAAGAAGATTATTATGTAGACCCAGAAATATCCTTCCCTCTTCTAAGACCCATTTCTTCTCTGAAGTCATGGGGCAATTGTGATATCTCTTCTGTATGACAAAGCTTTTTATATTTAAAGGTTACCGTTAAGGAAATAAATAAAGACCTTTTAAATGAGAACAAGCAGAGGCTTTTTATTCAGAGCTTTTTATAGCAAGGCAGTCACCCACCATCACTCTTATTTGCCAGAGACCCAGAGTAAGTAGGAAAAGTGGGAAAGCGTTATAATAAAAAAAAAGGGGGGGGGGGCTTGAGGTATATTCTGATTGGAAGTTGACATGGGGAGGCAAGAGACAGATTAACTAGAAGCAGACTACCTTATGCAATTGATTTGGAGAGCATATTTGGATTTCTCTGGTTGGTTCTGAGTTGGAAATGAGGGTAAAGGAAGGAAGCCGGCCTATATAAACCAAATACTGAATATTTTGGGCCAACTGCTGCAGAGATTGTGGTTTGGCCTTTCTGCTTAATTCCAGCAGAGGTTGTAGGTCACTGTTCTAATAGAATCTGTGATCTATCCATTGTGTGTTTGTGCATTCAATCTCTCCGTTCCCTCTTTTGGTGGTTCCCTTGCAGGAAGTTGGCCAAAAGGTAAGAGTAGAGATCCAGATCGTCACCGCTTGAGTATTCACTCATCTCCATAGTCAATTACATCACAAGAGCTTCTTAACTTTCTGATGTTGTATTTACTTTGGTGATCATCTGACAAGACAGCACTTTACAGAAGCATGTAAGACCTGTACCAGCACTAAGATTAAGTGTCAAGATGAGAAAACTCAATGGACTGGCATCATGATCACTATGATAAAAACAAGACCAACTAAAAGTCCATTTAAAATGCTTCAACCTGGCTGCTGTGGCTCAGTAGTTGAGCCAAGAGGGTGCTGGTTCGACTCCCAGTCAGGGCTCATGCCCGGGTTGCAGGCTTCATCCCCGGTAGGGGGTGTGCAGGAGGCAGTCGATCATTGTTTGTCTCCCATCAATGCTTCAATTTCTCTATCCCTTTCCCTCCCCTCTCTCTCTCAAATCAATAGAAACATATATATATAATTATTTTTTTTCCCCATTTTTTTTTCCTCAAAGATACTTCAGAAGCAAATCTGAATTTTTTAACCAAGGCCAAGAAAACAATCCCATAGGTCATAAGGATCAATCTTAGAGAGACAGCTAGTTTTTCTTTAAGGTATTATATACCCTTTTCTACCTTAGCTATTTAATTGAGCCAAATACAGCAAGGAGTATTAGCAATGGCACAGAATCTACCATGACTAGTGAACATGAAATCTAGATTATTCATCACTATTCTTGCCAAGGAATTGAAATGGACCTGTATTTCACCTAGGGTAGAGGTAATATTATTTGTAACTTCTGTTGGAGTTAAAATGATACATATTCTTACATATCATGTTCATATAATTCCTATTATTGGAAATACTGCTTTGATTATTTGTATAAACAATGAATCAGTAACTCCCCCAATAACTCCCCCTGAATAATCAAGGGTAGCCTCATTTGGAGCTCATGTCTGAATTATAATTTCCAGTTTGATGATTTATAGGATTAGGGTGTCTGTATACAGATAATTTTTGTAATACTGTTCCTAATGTGCGTGAGTTATTAGTATGAGGAAAGTAAGCGTAGCCATCCTGGCTGCGAAGGAAGTAGGATCTGCTAGGAACATACAGGTACCCAGGAAAAAAGGAATTATTCGTGACATGATGTTGAAACGAAGACCTTACATTAGTTGGATAATCTGAGATTGGCATTAGAATGATTATGCTTTGATCTAGCAATTTTAATAAGAACAGAACAGAAGAGGAGAAAGGCCATAATGGGTAGGTAACAACCAGGAGTCTACAGAAAATGAGAATAATGATTGTAAATAAGCAGATGGAAAGAAAAAAAAAAGGAATTAGAAGGGGTTTTGATCCAACATGGGCATAAGTTGTCCATTATCTGAGGTCATTGGATTGTTCTGAAGAATCCTGTTCAAGGTCTCCTGTTATAGTAGGCTTCTTGTTTTGTTGATTCAGGATTGCTTCTTTAGTTGTGAAATGTGAACCCAAGGGTCTACTCCAGGGAGTTTTACTTCTGTATTTGTTGTTAATAGTATTTGATAAAATCTTTTCCATAAGGTTCAAGAGCAGTTGGGTTTTTTTGTTTGTTTGCTTTGTGTGTGTGTTTTTCAGACATATCTTCCAATAGACAAAATCTCATACTTGAATATCATGAAGAGACTGTTTAAGAAGATATTTTGAATGTGACCCTATCCTCTTGGTGATAGGACTGGGTATGGTACATGGGGAACCAGTTACCAGTTCATAGTAAACAGTGTGCCCCAGAGAGTGGACCATACTGACATAAGGGCAAGTGATACTATCTTTGCCCATGGAAACTTAAGGGTTTCTGAAAGTTTTGTTAAATTCATTTAAGAATGTTATTGATTGTTTCAATAATAAGTTTGTAGGTGGTAAGAGGTGTCATGGTTTCTGAGTAAGGTTTTTTTCTATCATGTTTCTTGTGAAGTGTGTACCGTGGGTGCTTTATATAAAAGTTTGTGTTCCCAAGATTGAAAACAAAAAATCAGGCAGCTTTTTAGCAACTATAAAGACTATAGCTTTTTGCCAAAGAGATGTTTCAACCCATCCTGGAAATAGACATACAATAACTAAAACATTAAAATCCTGTGGAGTGTAAAAGCTGCATAAAATTCATCGAGTTCGAAGGGCCTGTGAAGCTTTGGTTCTTGTACATATCCCACCTTATAGCTTTTCTAGAATTATGTTGTTGACAAAGGACACATGACTTAAAAATGACCACAACTGTCTTTGAATTAACCAGAGAGGTCATGTTGATTTCACATAGTAACCAATTTATCTGTACCATGATGAGTAGTTTCATGGAGAAATTTAGCTACTATCCATTTGAAACCATGTAGTGTCACCCAGCAGCTATCTTGAGAACACCAGAGCTTATCTGAGTGAAGCTAAAACCATAATTTTTTTTTTTTCAGAATTAGGGGCTAAATGTTGATATTCATAATAGTTTATTTGAATTCCTTTAAGTATTTATCCTTGAAGAGTTTAGATAGCATGATAGCCTTGGTTAAGGTTGCTTGTTTGGCAAAATGATCTGCTAGAGTATTTCCTTGAGCTTCATTATTATTTATTTTTCCATGAGCTCCAACTTTTATAATAGCTACATCTTTATAAAGTAGGGGTGTATCTAAACGTGTCTTAAACAACTTGTTCACTTTTGATAGGGTTTTCAGCAGATTTGAGAACACCTTTGTTTCCAATGCAACCCAAAGTCATATTAAAAAAAAGGGGGAGGGTTCCCTGTATATATATTTATTCTGTAGTCTTTGACTAGTTGACAAGCTCAAGTAAGTGCAATAATACAAAGGATTGTATTCTAAAGGCAAGCTTAAGTTGGTGATAGCATATTATGTTCCAGTTTCAAGTTTTGATGTATGATCTATCAACAAATAACATTAGGTCAAGTTTTCAGTGGGAGTTCTTAAAAAAACTGAGTGAGGTAGGCAAGTTTCCTAACTGAGGTAAGAAAATCACAAGGCTCCCTTCTGGTAGGATCAGGGTGTTGCAGTGACGAAGAGTAATGTGAGTGGGAGAGTTGAACACATTCTCATGAGAAGTTAATTAGCTAGCTGGAAAGTGCTGTATGTTCTCAGGCAATAGTAATGTCTGTATTGCATGAGTAACCAGGGGAACAAGAGGGGAGCTTGTAACTAGTTAAGCAGAATTTGGAAGTGGCAGCTATTTCCCTAAAACAAGGAAATAAGCCTTTGCAACCAGGTCAAGGAAATGAGTTTTTGATGACTCCCATGAAGTTGAGTTAAAACCCTAAGGGCTTGTGCAGATTATTCATTATAGATGAGAGGATTTTTGGTTGGGGATGGCTATGGAAGGGTTCTGTGGACAAGCCTTCTTCAGATTACAGATGGCCATCATGACTTAGACTGAGAGTTGTCAAAGTCTCAGGAAAATTTGACACTTGTTTGAAGTATCCAGTTAAGCCTAGAAATCCTCTCAGTTGATTTGTGAGAAGGCTAAGATGTTTGAGTAGTCTCATGATAAGGATCATGAGAGAGTGACTGCCCTCCTTATATCAGTTATAACCTCAAGAATGGATTATGTTTTGGCAAAATTTTATTTTATCTTTTGAAACCTTATGTATTTTTTTTGTCAAGTCTGAGGACAAGTAAATGGAACACCTTTTGTAGGATTCTTTGGTCTCTGAATAAAGCAGGAGATCATGTACTACTGTGTCAGGACTGAATTACAAGGGAAACTTAGATCTTTGAAGTCTTGATTGAGAATTTGGGGAAAATAGGAAGGGGCTTGAGGGAACAGCTGAGTGTGACTATCCCTGTATACTATTCTCCTCCCCAGGTGAAGGCAAAAGGGAAAGGTTTAGAATGGAAAAAGAGGAAGTTTCTGATATGCCCTGATTGGAGATTGTTGGATGAGAAGGAGACAACAAGCTAATTAGAAGCAAAGAATCTTATGTAATCAGATTGGGAACATATTTGTTATTTTCTGGTTGGCTCTGAGTTAGAAGCAAAGGCAAAAACAGGGAAGCTGGTAGTCATTGACCAAGTCCCGACCATTTTGGTCTAATTGCTGCAGAGGCTGTGGTTTGGCTTCCTGTAAATCTTCTCATATAATTTGTCTCCAACTACATCTAGAAATGATTAAAAAATAATTGATGCATGAGGTAAGATTTTTGCAAAGCGGAAATGTAATGTTTTCCTTTACAAACTACTTGCAGACACCTGAAAATGTGGACTTCTCTCCTTAGTACTATTAAAATTAATTTTTCTCTCTGTAATTGTTTGTGTTGTTACAGAGGATCTTGATGATTTAAGAATGGAGGGAGTAACTACTCTGGTACCTTCTGGGAGCAAATTTAACCAAGGTCGTGCTACTTACCCTGCTGAGCCTCAGGCCAAGGTCACACTGAACATCTGTTCAAGGTGTGCCAGGTAAAACATATTATAGGTATATTATATAAATGTGAATTTTATTTTTAAAATCTAACATTTTGATGCAAAGTGTGTACTTTGTGTAAAGAAAATCTTTTCCTTCTAGTTATCTTTTGTGCGAACATTGGCAAGGGAGTTGGTTGTGTCATTGATCCTTGTGCCCAGTGCCACTCAGACCAACAATGAATCAAAGAGTTTAGATTGTCCTTACCTCACAGTTTGGTACTATTTTAAGTTTTTCTGTTTCTGAGTTTCATTTGCTGTCTGCCTGTCTGCTCCCTTTCAAAGGAAGATTCAAGGGGGTCTAAAATTTCAAAGCCACTTTTAAAGCACCTGCATAAAGCACAGGTTTGCCCAGGTACCGTCTAAGATCTAATATTATTGGCCTCTTAACCTGCTCCTGATCCTGTTCACCTCCTGGAAAGAATTTAATCAGCTTGACGCTTTTCAGTTTTGGCAGCTGGAAGCAATCTTTGCATATGCTGTATGAGGCCAAAGAAGTAGCTTAAGTTACTGCCAAGTCAGCTCCCAGTGCTGGTCCAGCAGAAACTCACCGAATAGCTAGAATTCATTCTTTTGTAGGCACTAAATCTCATTTGCAAAGAGGCTTTTAAGCCTGTTTAAATGATAAAACAAGCCTTCTAACCCTTATGTAAATGGTGCAGATTAGCAAGAACAATGCACTGGCTGGCCAGTTTTATCTGCTTTTCTTTATGTCTAGCTATTCCATTGTACTGTTTGAGAGGGGATTAGTTGCTTGGAAATTGGGAGGCGGGGGAAGTGTAGGAAAATCAAATCAAAATTTTTGTAGCCTTTCCTCTTTCCCTTTTATCTCTTTGGAATTTTTATTTTAATTGTGCCATAGCACAGTGAAAAGACCAATGGAAACATTGCTCCAGATGAGTGATATTTGAGTCAATTGAATTTTTGGTTATGGCTGTAAAGAAAACTGGTAATATTTGTGTGATGATAGTTATGTTACCATTGTAATTAGCTAGTTATTAATATTAATAATAGGAAAGGAGCAAAGGGAAGTACAGACATTATGAGCATGGCCATCTAGGCAGCTTCACCAGGAAGCTGGAATTTCACACTCGCCAGGGAACCACTGGCCCTTTCCTTGCAGATCACTGGGGAAAGGGACTGGACAAATGTGAAGATGGACACATGCACAGTGAGTCGGGGTGACATAAGGAAGGTGCTTACCTGTCTGTCTAACCTGGGAACAAAGATCATTGGCTAGAGGGGTGGACCCCAAAGCAAGCCCACACAAATTTGGGAATACATAATCCCTAGACAAAGGAATTCTCTCTTGTTCCTCTGGCTTTGCTCTTATTTCCTTGCACTTGCTCATGTTCCCACCATAGCCATGCTGCCCTAGAAGCCTCATGGCCATGGGTCATGAGGACCCTACGCCCAATAGACTACAGTTGGGAACATAAGCTAACCTAGCCAGATGCTGGACTGGACTGGGCAAATATGGAGCAGAAACTCTGGGCACTGGCTTTACATTTATCTCTGCTGAAGACAAAATGGGACTTTTTTTCTTGGTGGGATGGAGGGAGATGGGACCTTGTAAACTCAGGGGTTTAATTCCAAAGAAATAAAGCTTTCCATGATATCTCATCCTCCTTTGGGGGTCTCTGGAAACTTTTATTCCAGCAGTACCCCAAGAAGCCCACTTCTACTGGCAACGAGTGGGGGTGCGAAGGACACCACACAGATAACAGTTAGGCATCCTGAGTATACAAGGCCTTCTATGGAAGAATAGTTTGCCACTTTAAATAAAGCCTTTATTTGTACATTTGGTACACATTTGTACATTTATAATTTTACTGGAGAGGGGTTTGTGCTTCGTCTTCCATTCATTTGGAAGGTTGGGATATGAAGTGTTGGTTTTTCAAAAGGGAAAGGCTATGGAAATAATATGTCTTTAAACTACTGAGGATTTGAATTTAGAAAGGACCAAACATATACACAGCCCTAAATTATTTACCATTTATCTTCCAAGTGATAGAGTTAGACTGTAAATTACAATCTGCTTTTAAGGTGAGCCCTTTACTGAGTTTATTGAAGAAATATTCAGTTGAGTAACTGGTTACATTTATTGCACTCTCATTATGTACCAGATACTATTCTAAGCACATTAAATATAAAAACTCATTTAATTCTCAAATAATGCTGGGAGTTAGTTACTATTATTATTCTCATTTTTATAGATAAAGCATGTGTTAATTAATTAACTTGTGTACAGGAACACAGCCAGTAGGTGGCAATCACTTCGCACCCAGGAGGTATAGCTTGACTGTTGAGCTCTTCTTTTGGATTGCCAAGCACCAAGCTATTCTCTGAAGGCAAAGGTAGAGGCCAAAAAAGATAAAGAATGAGATAGGAAGACATTTAGGTGTTTGAAATGATGGGATTCCATGATTGTTTTGATGGAGCAGAAAGCAATGTTGTACTTTCAAAAGCAAGACAGATATATTGATTCAGGGAAATTTGGTAACCATTATAGAAGACAGTAGGCTTTTAATTTTAGAGTAGCTGCTATAGCCAGAGTTTAGAAAAACTAATATCAATTTTCAAGACCTTAGAAGGACTTGAGACTTTACCCTATTTGCAACCTAACATGTTAGTCAGCCAATGTTTTAAAGATGCTGGCAGAGACATGAAACTCCTGGATCAGAGACCAAGGGACTTAGTAAGCACAACAGTAATAATTGTCAGAGTATTAGCATTTTCACTGCATCCCTGAGGCACAAGTCTCACAGACGAACACAAATAGGGCAGTAGGTTGCAGTATATAAGAGGAACCCTGAGTTTAGAAAACATGAATATTTTACAATGGGAAGTAAGCATTGCTCTAGAGACACACTCCATATCTCTCTTCCAAGGCTGTTTGTTATATAAAACATTCCGGAACAGATTGTCTGAAACAAAGGCTGTCAGTGTCTCTGCTCACAAGATATGTAGAAACATAAGAGACTCACGGAGAATTGTCTCCCTATATTAGTTAGAGAAGACTACTTTCGTCATGCATTGATGTGGTTATCAGAAATTTCCATAATTGATTCTCAAACATCAGTTTATGTTGCTGACTCATCTCTTCTAGTGTGAGTAAGGTTTTTTAAGTCTGTGAGAATAATACTTTTTAAGCCAGGGCTAAACAATTATCTGAAGCAGAAGTCATAAACTCCAGGACTGTGTGTAGTATACAGGTTTGTGTGTTCACATAACATTTAAAAGTACCACTGGATTAGTTACTAATTTAATATAAAAATTGGTATTTTTATCTTCTCTTAAAAATCCTTAAGGGTGATAACACTGGTTCCACATTTTCAAATGTATACACACTAGCAGCTTTCCCCTCTAGAGCCATAGACCCAGCAATTCTGCTCTAGTTCACCTCAGATTGTCTGTCCAACTTCACTCATTTACATGACCTGTGGAGCCTGTAAGGCCCTTGTTTGTAACCTCTGACCTGTGGAAACATTGGAACTCCAAAGATAAGCAGTGAATTAGGACTGGAGGAATGCAGGCTGAGGAGCCTGGGCAGGCCCCTGGGGGAAGGATCTGGTGCCCAGAAGAGACAGATCATACTGTCTCAGGGCACTAGGTTATGGGCAGGGATTTACAGTAGCCAGGTGGTAGTCTCAGAATGAACAGGCAATCTCTCAGAACTCAGAGTGAGTCGATCAGAAATCCAGCTCTGCAAACTAAACCAACATGGAGAAAACAATTGTTTCATTTAGAGAGCTGTGCCCATTCCCATTCCCATTGCTCTCTTTGTGGGCACTAGTACCAGCCTGGAAGAGACCTGTGAGAGAATACAGGAAGCCTGACATTGGGTTTTGGACCTGGGATCAGGACTTAATTCCAAATCTTACTGAATTGGATACAGTGTGGGGCTAATGGACAAGAAACTTTAGGATTAATTAATGTTAAGTTGTATTGTGTACTTACCAAGACGTTTCAAAGCTTTGCAATAAAGGTAGACTACAAAGATAACTTTTTCTGAAGATTGACAAAGGGATTGAATGGAATGTCCACACTCTAAAGTACCTTGTGTGTCATGTTGGGGAAATTATACAAATATTCAGAAAATCTGGTCCCTTTTTTGTGAAATGGAGTTCATGTAATCCTGGAGATAATTTCTAGGGCGGATAGAGAGCACTGGACAGGATAATGCATGCAAAGGCAGCTAGCAAAGTGTTCACAGTGCAAGGCTCTCAGGGAACAGGGGGGTTCCTCTTCTCTTCCTCTCACTCATGGGATAATTACCATGTAAATACTTAAGCAGTTTAAAACACTTTGAGCTTTCCTTTTATCTATCTTTTTGAGAGGACCACATGAAAGTGCTCAGGTATTGAGGAAAAGGAGCCTCATTTTACTGACATTCAGGAACTTTCTCTTGCCTTAGGTTTCTGACTGACTGGGGAGAAAATTATTGTCCACCTTCCAGGACTTCTTGTGTTCAATACAACAGTGTAAGGTGGAGACATTTTTATTAGTTAGTTTGTTGTTTCTTAGAGTGTTAAGGTCAAGGAGTCATTTTTCCCATAGAACTGGAGAGGTAAAATATATTAAGTGAGCTTAATGGATATGTTGTGATCTTGAAATAGTACTATAGCCCCAAGATACTATCACCAACAACCTCAGTATAGAGTCAGTAAGACTCAAGTGATGTTCAGAGCTTCTGCAAAGAACCTATCAATAATCAAGTTAGTGTAAAGAGGTGCAGTCTACTCTTTAGTTTGTGATTTTCCTCAATCTCTTTTTCAAGCACTACAACACTCCTGAGCTACTTATGGTGTCACAGTAGCTCGAAGTGTGTGCCCACGATATGTACAGAACATTTTTGTTCTATCAAGTTGAGGGCATAGAGCCAAAGGCCACAGAGCCCTTCTCATTCAGAACCCACTTGGAAGACATGATCTGTAATGAGACTGATATATTTTACTGGGAATAATTGAGAGGTATAAGATATGCATGAATTTCCA